ATTTTAATATGATGGGAATTTTTTTCATCTCTTTTTTTTTTAGAAAGGTAGTTGACATACCCTACTCAAATTTAAAGTGAGGTGTTATATCTAAAATGATAAAATGAAAATCAAGGTTTACTAGCTAGTTTTTTTAAAAGGAAAGATTTTCAGAGTTCTTTTTAAGTGTTTAGGTGCCATCTACAAATGCATTCCCTCCCTCCCCCATCAGAGGCATTTACAATATCCTTTATCACCATCAAGTATACATTTGGCTTATTTTCAGAGCTTTCACAGTGTTGGGAAGAAAAAGACATTACCGGAAAGAGGGTTTGTTTTTAAGAATAATTTTTCGGGTTTCAAATTAAGTGGATGAAGTTTGAACCTTGAATCTGCCACTTGTTAAAGATGTGAATTTGGGAAAATTGTTTAAGGTGGCCAAGCTTTACACACCTCATCTGGGGCTGAAACACCCTGTCTTTCTAGGTTAAGGAGATGGGAACCTTAAAAGACATGTTAAGTGCTTGTGCTGGGCTTCTCTTCTAGTAGCTGCTCCTTCCCTCTTCTCTTCATTTTGTTGTTACAGTTTGAGGCATACACAAAACAGCCCAAGGTTGTAGTAAGCATATTTAATTCTTACTAGTAGTAGGCGTTGAGTTCTGAATACAAGTTTAGAAGTACCTACCGCATTTTGTTGCTAACTTCTCCCTGAAAAAAAAAATCTCCAGTTTTCACAAAAGTAGTAGTTCGACTTTCTTATCTTTAGGTGGTGCTTCTGGACCACAAAGACAGCCCAGAATTATTTTTCAACTATTCTTTCTTCGAACATGTCTAGGTATTCATTTTTATGTTACCACTGGAGATTTTAAGGCTTTCTCAAACTCTCAGATTTACATACAAATTTCCCAGCTTTAAGAAATCTCAACATTCAAAAATACGATTTTCTGAAGTCAGTGAATGAGGAAGTGATTATTCATCTAACAAAAAGAGTATGCTTCTCGAATGGAGTCAGCGCCAGGATCCTTGATAATGTAAGTGGTGTAAAATCGATTTACAAAAATTCGATTTGCATCTACACATCTAAGAGCACATCTTTTCTATAAAGGGAGGCCCAAGTGGGATAATCAAAATCCCCTGTGGATAAAATCAGACAGTAGCATGTGCTGCACAGCTTGGGTTTTGAAATGGCAGAAGAGACTGACTGAGTTTCCATGGAAACTGCCCCCTCAACTCCCTTTAAAGAAAGCACGGGCTCTTAGCACTGAAGCAATCAGGCCGCCATAGGGGAAGAATGATGTTTTAAAAAAACACCACTAACTTAATGGTCTTCCTTGCTTTCTCATAGTTATCATGAACAATAGCACTGAGTCTATATTAAGTCCCTATGGTTAAGATGCAAAGTTGCATTAAATAAGATATTTGCTGTATGTGTATTTTTTCTTTTCTACTCCAAAGGCGCTATAGGTAAAAAAACAGTTGGAGAAAGCAAATGATGAATAAATAATTACAAAATCTATACTTGTTGCCTCATGGATATAGTCAAGACAAAAAATATTTCTGGTACCTGATCCCATTGCCTTATCTTTGCTCTTGTGTTTGTCTTGGAATTAAAGCATTATCAAAAGAAAATAATTTTTGGTAGTACATATTACTGTATGGCTGAAAAAGTTGGCCTTATACAGATATTTCAGAATGGCCATGGAAAAATCATGATAAAACATTTTCAACAGTGTTTATGCTATGGGTGACATGCAGAATTCAGGCAAAATCTGAAAAACAACAACAGAAAAATCAGGATCACTCACAAACTTTTAGTATTCATATTTCATGGGAGCAGCCCTTTTCAACCTCTATTTCTGTTTTGTTTTTGTAGCTCTAAGACATGAAAGAAATCTCTAAGTCTGAACATCATAAAGTACCTTGGTGCTCACTGTTGCCTTTCATTATTCACCATTAAAGGAAACATGCTATTTGGAGTGCTAATACTATTCTTTCTAAGTGAGTAGACATTTCATTTTGAATGGCCCTAAATGTTTCCCCAAACCTGTATAGGACTTATCACTGATCACACCTAGATGGAGGTCATAACATTGAAAAAGAATGTCGTATCTATGCATTAAAATACATAATGATAAATAATGTGATTTTGCATTTGTACTCGTCACCAAGATGTGGCAGCAGGTCAATTTAGTTCTTGTTTGTTTCTAATTTGTCCTTCAGCAAGCCATAGACCTGTTAATGTTTTGTTTTCCTTCCTTTATAAGGCCAAAACACTGAAACTGGGTAGTGGAAATAGAGCTTGTTAGGTCTACTGGCTGAGTTTGTATTATTGTTTAATTATTCACAACAATGCCTTTCAAGTGCTTTCTCCATATTCTATCATCCCACCTTCTGTCTTTCAAAGGGAACTATTATGAGGATTAATAAGTACTTAAATTATGCAATCTACTTCCATAGTGATACCTCCTCAGAAACCCAAAGAGGGGTCACTATGGGTCGGATCCTACTCAACGGCAGTGAGTTAGGTTTGTTTTTGTTA